ATAACATTGAATGGTGCAAATACAGCATAGATCAAATAAAACCAAACAGAACACAAGAATAAAAATTAAAAATACAAAAAATCAAACAATAAAGCAAATAAAGTATATATAAAATCAAACTAAGCAGAATACATCTTACACACATAAAAATTACAAAACAAACAATATTAACAACACAGTAAGGGTCTATTCAAGTAACACGAATAAGTCAAATAATGAGAATAATTTCTGGGTGTTTCTTTCCTTTATGTAATGAAGAGACTGCAAATATTTTAAAGGTTACCTATTATGCAAAATCCACTTTTCATGTATTTTATACATAAACATGTGTCCTCTCTTAAAGAGATTCTGAAAGTTTCAGGAAAATATAATATTTGCTCACTTTTTGTCCTGATCCATTTCTATAAAAACCTGTCTGAAAATGAGCTGATCAGATTTTGGCCACTTTATGAGGTCATAACGATTTTTTGGCTTGTGTAACCATTAGCCAATAACCAACCAAAGTAACCCCCCACCACCTTATCACCTGAATCTCCTCCTAGAGCACCATTGTGTTATTTTTAACCAAATATCTCGCAGAGGGGCGTGGGGAGTGGCTCCTTATTTTCATCTAAAGTAAAAGACAGAATCAGCACTTTTGAAACAGGGCTGAAACAGAGGGGTTATGGGTTTATGGGATGCTACAATGCATGATCTGTTTGGTATTTCGAGCCAAACACTTCAGAGACATGTTTTGTGAGACCTATTGATGAAAAACAGTATAATAGGGGACCTTTAAGTTCGTTCTTCCATCCAGTGATGGCTTAACCTTAAGATATTTGCATTTAAGTATAAAGTGTTTGCTTAACAAAATCAAATTATTAACCAGAAATTCCATATGTTTTTCTTTTATAACTACTCCTTTGAATGATGGCCAAGTCTGTAAGACAACATTCTTGAACAGGTTCACACAACATTGGCTGAGCTGCAGTTCTTCCACTCTCCTGCTGATTCGCAGATCTCACAGTGCATGGATAAATCCACCCCACCACGGTTTGCCTCTCATCTCGGTGGATCACGTTAGCATACTGACACGCATTTGTGGAGTATAGTCCGTCTTCAACATGGTTTAATCTCAATGCAAGCAGCAGCAGCAGCAGCAGCTGTCATGTGAATCAGCTGGACGGACAAGGAAGAGATAACAACACGGCGCTGTGTTTCTAAATCAAGGTAAAATACTCTTTGCTTTTATTGAAACAACATGTGATATACCGGCGAAAAACGATGCATGTAAGCTAGCTTTGATCCAGTTAGACAGCAATCGGTGTGCTGCATTATGTGACTCTAGTGCAAAATTAGCTAAGCTACATATCAACAGCTAACCGTTAGCGTTGCCAGCCTAAGAAGTTGGCACGCGTTCATGCCAGTGGACATCTCGGACTATGTTTCTCATTGTTCCCATGTCTATTGTCAGAGGTCTTTCAGGATCGATACAATAATGTATACACGATACAAAAGATCATAGTAAATCCTCAGTATCACACAAAGTCACAGAGCGAAGGAGCTACGGGCCTCTCTGCAGCCACCTTGCGAGGGGCATTTAAACCCCATTCACTTGTGCATTAAGGAGTTAGCTGGTGTGCTAGCTAGGTTAGCTAAACGGCTACATATGCATTTATTTTCCACCTGCTAGCTGCAAGTGCTTTATAGTCCGGTACCATGAATCAATTCACAACGTACAAATCAGAGTGACAAATTATTATAACGTCTTAATATAAGCAAGCTAGCTGTGCTAGTTGTTCAGCCATTACTTTGCATCATAACAAAACGTAGGCTAGTTGGCTAGTTAGCTGGCTTGACAGACAACAAAGCTCAGCCAAGCCATAGACGCAAATCCAGTTTTTAAAGCGAAACCACAACTCAGGGGATATTTATTTATCCCAGTGTTCTAATGTGTTGATTTCAATTAATAGTAGGCAGAATAAGCACGAATTAGGTTATCCGTGTTTTGAAATGTTTGTTTTAGTACTTAAAACAGGAGTAAGGTTGTAAACACATAGTGTGTGAACACTGTTGCTGATTTATTACATAAACTTGTTTAAGCTTGCAATTGCCTGTTACATAATCGGGCTGAATGCCATTTCAATATGGTTTGCAGTGAAGTAGCTTTATGAAGAAATATATGGTTGAAAATCACAATATCATGACTCGGGCAATGTGATCCTTTGTCTGATGAACAATAAAGTCAGAGTTGGGAGTGGGATGGGTGGATGGGACAAACATCTGAATTGGGTTGTTAGAAAAGATCATAGGGCCAAATTGACATTCGTTGAATCTCTACCTCCATCTAGCGGTGATCATAAACCACTGCCTTCTAGTCAAGTTTTACACCTGTACATTTGAACCACACGTTAATATTAATTACAGCCTGTAAATCACATTAAGTGGTTCATATTTTGTAATGGTCTATACCAGTGGTTCTCAACTGGTCAGGCCTCGGGACCCACTTTTTACTTGGTCAATAAATCGCGACCCAACATTTTGAAGCACTCAAATCTATTCAACAAAAAATCGTGCTGTAATATACGCTTTTCAGCATACAATATTAATTAAAGTGAAGTACAGTGCATATATCCCTTATATCCCTTCACAGAACTAAAGTATGCTTTTAAAAAAGTTTAATGAGATGATGGAATGAAAGCTGAACTATATAAAAAGGCACACATGCTGAAAACCCAACCCCAGCAGGGGGGTCTGGGGGGATTCTCCCCCAGCAGATTTTTAGAAATACTAACGTAAACTACGCATTCTGGTACACTCTGAGAAGAAAATAAATAAATCTATCACTACCCGACATATTAATAATATTTTATGCCATTGTTTGTTTTTCACTTTGTTCTGAAGCTGAACTTGCTGCTCCTCACAGAGAGAAGAGCAAAGAAGAGATAGTCTGTGTGACTTACTTTAAATTGTGGGTTAGGGTAGATAGCTCCCATTGTTCTGTGACCTGTCAATCATCAAACCGGGGGTCATATTTCATTACGTGTTCATTTGTATCTGAAGTTGTACCCATGGATGTATAAAGAATAGTTCTACCGCAAAGTTATTCTCCGGCAACAATCTTGATTCTGATTGGCCAGAAGACTCGAAAAAACATCAGCAGAGATGTTTTATTGAGAAGATGATCACTACGTGACAGAAGTTTTCAAAGCCGTCTATGGTCTCCGGTACTTCCAGTTCAACGCCTACTGCATGCACAGCGTTGGAAAATCGGGCATTCAAAATAAAAGTTTGACTTTTTTTCCAAAAAAAAAAAAAAATTCAATTTTGCGACCCACTAGTTGAGAATCACTGGTCTATACAATGTGTACTAAGTCTTAAATTGAGTTATATCTTCAATCGGTATCACAAAAATGTAAGGAAAAATAGCTGATTGGGAGCAGTTAAAGGAATGCTCCACTCATTAGATAATTAATCAAAACTTCAGTATTTAGTGAAACATTATGTTTAAACCATACCCTGAAGAAATCAGCGATATTCCCCGGTAAATAATGATTTTATAGCTCTTTTTTATCAAAACCTGTATATTCTGTCAGGCCGCTGCCATTTTCTATATGCCCTGGCTGCGGAACGCGGAATGGGGCGGGGTCGGACGTCCGACCCCTCCTCCGCCCCATTCCTATAGGCCCTGGCTACGGAATGGGGCGGGGTCGGATGTGGACGTCCGATGGGCGGGGTGTATGGATATCCTAATGACACAAACAGCATCATCTGCTGGACAACTACAATAAGTACAAATACAAATCTGCACTCGACTAAATATAATTAAAAAACGTCATACTAATTAAATGCATGAATGTATTTAAATATGTGGTATAAAGTCATATTTTCTATTAGTGTATTTAAGTTCATTATTTAATATTTGTTTTAATTGATTATTCATTTAGTTAGTTCTGTGCATACTCATATCTAGTCCATATATTTCAAATGATACATTGCACTGCATTTCATAGAATGATAGAAAAAGCATTTATTATTTACAACATTTATCATATAACAGAACAATCATTAATATAACAGAACCGAAAAAGCAAATACAGTAAATATAAAAACCAAACCAAGTATACAAAAAAAAATCTATACAACAGTGAAAGGCTTTGCTGATGCAAACATTCAACCGCGCTCTTCAAAACAGGCATGAAACTTAAGGTTTTCTTTGTCAATGCACTGCTCAAAAAACATGAAATAGTTCGACTCAAATTTGAACCTGAACATAAATGGGTCCATCCTGTCTTCCCAGCTGTCTTCGTCCCGCAGGTTGCTGGCTTCACCAAGGTTATGGAGAGCTGCTTCTCTGTCCAGTGGGGCCATGGAAATAATTTGTGGCAGGATGACTTTATCTCCCATATTCTTTGCAGAGCACCACTGAGATGCCGCCATAGCACTACTTATAAAGGGGTGCTTCTCCTACAGCAGTGGTTCTCAAACTTTTTCTGTCATTCCCCACTTTGAACAGGTGGGCCTTTTCAAGCCCCACCTGTTCCTCTTAAGCTTAATTTTTCAAGCTTAAAATTGTCAAATGTATCGTTCTATAACAGTCTCCAACCTTTTTTAGGATGAGAGCTACTTTCCAAAACTAAAACGAAAAAAATAGCTACTTTTACTCCTCTTTTTTGTTGCACATTTTAACATTATTATATGCTACCTTTAACCTTTGTGTGCTGCAACTGACAGTGGCTAACAGTTAACAATAGTTTGCAGCTCTTTTTGGTAGCAATACATGTATGTATGTATGTAGTGCTTATATGCTTATAGATGCAGTATATTTACAGTGCATATTTAAGGCTATTTCTGCTGTACACCAGTATAAAGGTAATACCTCAGTTTTCTACTTGTTTACTTTGACCCTTTACTAGTATTTTAAATATGTATATTTCTACCTTGCTTGTGCATCACTTTCCTTTGGCATAAATAAAGTACCTATATATATATATATATATACATATGTATGTTGTCTGTTCACATGCATTTTGTTTGTTGTTCAAGTTATGCCCTAACATTGGCTTTTACCTTTATGTTTCACCGTTGCATGATTTTGTATGTGGTTAATCACCAAATGCCTTTCTGCAGTCTTATAAGAGCAGAATGGGCACTGATAAAAAGGTGAACCGGCGGACTGTAGGGGCACAGGTTCTTCTCCCTCAGTAAGAATGGTATGGTGTCTGAGGAAGAACACAAAATGGAATACATTCAAATCAGAGTCTACATGTATCAAATGTTGTTATTTCTTTAAGCAGATCGATTCAGTTGGTTTGTAAGAATTTAAAAACACATCAAGATGAACAATGTAGATATTCTACATCTATGGATTCTTACGAACATTTCAAGACCAAGCATGCTGCGCTAACTTATTGGTACGGCCATACAGACAACTTACAAGGTAGGAACTTGGAAGCGAATGTCTACTGGGTTGCATAATACATAATTTATTACCTTCGGTCGTTCCCTTCCATGATAATGATGATGTATAATCGTCTTCAAATGTAATAACGCGGACAAACAGACCAACTAGGTGATCACATGGTTTTTTCTTCTTCTTCTTCTTCTTCTTCTTCTTGGCGGTAGGGAAACAGCTGATGTGTAATGTGGACTCACAAGGCGGGGTCGGACGTCCGACCCCGCCCCATTCCGCGTTCTGCAGCGAGGACCTTCTCGCCATTTTGGCTATTTTCAGTAGTCACGTGATGGTCGTGACGTCATCCATGCGTTCACTTTGTAAACACACGAAAACATGGCGGAGTATTTGAGTTCGGACTCGTCAGCCGAGGAAGAAGTTTTGAGCAATATGAAGAGATTGGATGGGGGAATTCAGCCATACAGGTTCGAGCCAAGTAGTCAGAACCGTCAGGAATCCAGGGACAGTGACTATGAGGATGAACAGCACGGTGATCTTGCTGGAGACGATCCCTTTACTCGTGCAATTGATTTCGGGAGGCGAGTAGGAAGACCTGTATGAATGGTGTACCTAGAACCACGATTTTATGGGGCCGGAAAAACTGGGGAAAAGTACCCGCTAGCCGGTACTACGCTATATGGAAAGGCCACCAAAAACTGGCCTGGCCTGGACGATAAAGGACGTTTAAACGGGGCTACCCGCTGCAATGGAAATGCGCTATAACATACCTTATTCTTACTCCGAGCACTACTTCTGGTCCTCCGTCGCTTCACACTTGCAGAGGGCGATTTCTCAACTGGCCGAACTGGTGTCCTGGTCGGTGATGACACCAGAAAGACCGATGGTACTGCATCTCCATTAAGTAATGGTTGTTCAATAAATCCCATGTTATGTTTTATCCAAGCGGCAAACTTTGGGGTAGAGCCGGGACGCCAATACGGAAGTGCCACACACTGCAGTTCATATATTGGCCGATAGGGACTGACTGCAGAAAAGAGCAATTTCCATAGACTCCCATGTTAAAATGCCCAACTTTACAGCAGAAAAAAACATGTTTCTACCCATGGATGCAATACATATTATTATGAATATAGTTAGGTTCAACCTTCATGATTATGGATCTGTGAGTGAATTGTTTTCTAACACGACCCTTTTATTTATATTAGGTCTTCAAGTTTTTGCATAAATTAGGGCGTGGTCACATTGAGTGACGACTGTCAAGTGACTGCTGCTGCTAGCTTCTTGTCTCTCTGCTACCTGCTCCGTGAAGCTACAGGGACTCTGCCTGCTCAGTTCATCCAGGGAACACAACTTGAAGCCGGCCGTGGTTGTTTGTTCTTCATGCTTATATATCGGACTATTGTGACTCGCTCTGCGGTTAAAACAGACGGTGCATGAATGCGGTTTTGCGGTAAGTGAAATTCGAGTACTTATTTATGTGTTAATGATTTTAATCGGCTACGTAATGAATGTTAAGGCTTGGTTTAGTTGTAAGCGAGTGGTAGCTACATCGGTGCTAACGATGCTAATCGTAGCCTACAAGTTAAAATCATAGACTGTATATAAAGGTTAGAACGAAATAGACAAGTGTTAAGCGTTAAGTGGGATAATACTGTAGAACAAACGGCTTCTGTTTGAGGTTGATAAAATAAGGTCATCCTTGTAACTTATAGAGATATTTTATTATGTAGGTAGAACTGTATGCATCGCTAAGGTTAATTTAAATTGGCTATGCTCAAGTATGTAGACAAGCTAACGTCGAAGTAGTGTATGTGAAATCAACCTCACAATAAGATGTGTGTATATTACAATTAATGTCATATTTCAAGATGATTAGTTGGATATTACAATATGGTTGGTTGAGCTGGAGCATTATTGAGCTTACACGTTAACGTCACAGTCATCTGAAGAACGAACCCAAACCTTATTGTTTTTATTAATTTCATTACCAAATGGGTATCAAATAAACAGTAAGCATTGGTAACACAACTTCTAAAGTTACAGTAAAATAAAAAGGACCCTGACTCGGACAATACACAATCCAACATGTTCAACAGAAGAGAATCAGTTATATTGTTTGTACACATGGTACTTTACATATATATATGTATATATATATATATATATATATATATATATATATATATATATATATATATATATATATATGTTTGTTTAAGGTGTCCAGGTGATGCAGACAGGCTGGACCAGAGAGTGAGAGACAGAACTGGACTCCTCACAGCAGTGAACTTCAGCACAGGTACAAAGACTCTTTTTTTTCATACTGTACAAAGAATCAAGAAAGATATTGGTTTAAATGAATGAAGTATTGACTTGAATACACTGATATACATTCCATTAAACAATACTAAATACTAGATCACCTACACATCAGTTAAGTTGAGGGTTTTATCCATGCAAAAAGTTACATTTAGATGTTATTGTTAACAAGCAATATGACTTTGTCAGCTTTCTAATTTAATGTATTGAAGGCAAAGATATTTAACACATAGTGAGAACTGCTACTATTTATTTCTCAATATTGTCTTAAAAAAACGTGGTAAAAGTTATTCTTTCAGTGAGACAACAGAGCAAGCTTCTACAGTTGCACTACGTTTTGATAACAGTTCAATATTATTTTGATAATAACATATATTTCAATGTTGATGAACTTCATACTGTTCATTCATAATCTGATTGTCTTTGTAGCTCATTGTTGAAATAAAAAAAAAACATTACAATTACAAAATAATTATATCTACAGCCCCTAAACACACAAACACACCACTTTCATAAATAACACACTTGTTCTGCAATAATATGTTTTATGTTTCCTGTCATTTTTGTTAGGAAAGGACATGCCTGAAAGACAGGACATTTTCTCCTTCTCTGAGGGTCAAGAAGAACATCCAAGAGGAACATTAAAAGCTGATGTTATGAGATTTTAAGACCAGTACAGGACATTCACTAAGAAACTACTTTTATTGTAAAAACAGTCAGCTGATCGAATGCAGCTATTTCCACATCTACACTCCATCAGCTGATTATTTCTATTTACCTCACTTTATGAGCTTCACAACATGTACCTTGTTTTGCAACGTCACAAATAAATGGGGCCAATCTTCAGTCAGATGTGAATGTGTAATCTAACATTTTCAGTAAGAATAATGGACAAAAGGAGTGCAAATACAATTTATTGAAATGTGAACCAAAAGTTAATCAAATGTTTTAAATAAAAAGCACATATGGACAGAAGGTGTAAACCTATTAAATGTATTAAACACATTTAGTCAAATAAAGTGACCGACTAGGCCTGTGCAGTTGGTATCAGCTTTGCCCAGCATGGGCTCCTTCATCAGCCCTGGTCCTCCTCGCAGAGGAAAGACCCTCAGTCCTCTCCAAACCAACAGACAGGACGTCCATCACACGGAGGTTTCTCCTTGAAGTCTCTGCAGCTCTCTGGACACCAGACTGTCTCAATCCGTCCACACTGAATATGAGATTGGGAAAATGAAAATAATAAATGCTTTAGACAATAAGAAACATAAAGTTGACTGTTGAGTTGCTCAGTTTTGTTAGATTGTCAATACTATTACTGTATAACTAATATCTCAGGTTAAGAGGCACATTCAAATAAAGATTGGTCTTTAAATACATTTTGTCTTTTGAATTGTTTGTCTAAAGTCAAGGATCTATAACTGGTACTTAGTTTTAATGATAGTCCGGTTATTATGCTGTTTGGAGGAGGCCTCACAGGTAAGAGCGCTAACTAGCTACCATCACATGTACCTTAGCTTGACTTAAATGTATTAAACGTATAGTTAAGTGATATCAAAATATAAATAACTAATGTCATGCAAACATATTAATATTTGCTTGATTCCAGTGTTGAATTTAGCACAATTGCATACAAACGTTAAGGGGTTTTAAGATTCTGAAGTATTATGCTAAAAACTCAATAACTTAGATTATTATTTATAGTTTTGCTGAATAGTTTCATGTCCGCTTACCTTAGAAACGTAAAATGCGACGGCAGCGTGCAGATAGGGAGCATGTTAGCTTAGCTTGGTAGCTTCAGCTAGCTCTGGAACTTCCAGCTCGGTGGCTACAGGTCCCGCCTCGGCTCCGCCTCTTTGCCCTTATTTGGAGAAGGCGGGAGTTGAACTCTGGCGTCACTGTCGAGCCGTTAGTGGCCGACTCCGCCTACTAAGGGCTTCACGGCAACTCTGCAGAATTCTATGGGTGACGTCACGGACCCTACGTCCGTTTATATATACAGTCTATGGTTTTATCATACTCTCCGAGTAGTCGTCCGGAAACTTGAAATGTTCGCTGCATACATGCGCCTGTGGATCTTTCGGTTCGGGTCGGCCACATTTCGCTAGCCTCCGAACGTACTTCCTACGCTTACCTTTTGGCAACAGATGGAACCGAGCATTCCGTGGATTGTTCCTATCAGAATTGTGGCAATGTTTCGCGATACAATGAGGCATATTTGAAGAGAGTAACTACAGTAAATAACATGAACATCAACGTGTCCTCGAAACCAAACGCATGGTTTACGTCACGTCCGGTAAAATGGCGCCGCCCACAGTGTTGATGTTATTTCGGTAATTAATCAGTTTAAAATCACTGATAATGTCATCGGATTAAAAAAAAAAGAAAAAAAAAAAAAGACTGGCAGAGACTGGTGTGTTTTATCGGATGATAATTATTTAAAAATGCGTGTCATGAGCATACCATTCCTTTAAACTTACTTTATACTTAACAACTTATTGACAAATTAAGCAAACACAAATGACTTTTTGGCTATATTTACATCTGGAAATTGGTCATTATTATTATTATACCCTTTGAGCACATTTAAATTGGTGTCTTTATTTTATTTTTCCAGGTTATATCTGGTGAGGCGGCAGGATGGCGGGGGCAGAGGTGTTTACCCCTGCGAACCCCACCTGCAAAATCATGACGTTCAGGCCCACCATGGAGGAGTTCAAAGACTTCAACCAGTACCTGGTTTATATGGAGTCTCAGGGTGCACATCGCGCAGGTCTGGCTAAGGTAGGGAGCCTTTTTTCAAATTTCAACTTGGAAACAGTTTCATCATAAGTTTTGTCTTGTCTGTGAGTTATGGAATTCATGATGTCCACTTAGTTGGTGTG